TTAAATATAATCCTCTCATGTCATGGAGCCTTCTTGCTATGGTCTTTCTTGAAACATTTACTCCTTCAAGGCGAGATAACTAATTTTTAATAGCAGTACTAGAAAGCAGGGGATTGCGTCGTGCAATTAGGGATACTTGACGTTCTTGCTCAGCAGTAGTAGTAACTCTCTTTTTACCTCTTCCAGGCCGGTCTGTAACCTCGTTTGTCTCCTTGATTTTTTTTAATATTCGCGAAACATCGCTTTGGTTAACTCCTACAATTTCAGCTATTGCAACTTCCCAGTAGCCCTGTTGAGACAGTATTACTATTCTGATTCTATTAAACTGTGAAATAATGTTTCTAGGCATTTTAAGGCCAAAACAATGGTCAAATTTCTTCTGAAACCCAAGAGTCCGCAAATCGAAATGTGCAAGAATTTGTAATAATATTGGGTCTGAACGATAAACATTGTTTACCATGTCCATTTTAACAAAAAAATGTTTATTACAGATTATCAAAGTTATGTATAAAAAAAGATTCTTTAAATTCCTTTCCGTATATTTTTAAACGATATATGCGATAATTTTGGCCATGTGTGTATGTTATTGATGAAAGAAGTTACTGATATCGGAATGCCGGATAAATTTCTTACAGCGCTTTCAGATGGAGCGGAGCGTCCGCGCGTACCGTCCGCTAGTTCCATGAGTTTAAATGAACAATTTCACGTGGGTCGCGTATGCTCCCTTGGATAGGATGATAGGATGAGCTATCTTGAAAAAACATCCGCGCGGATGGTCCGCTCTATCTGAAAGGACTGTAAGTAGTTCTTAAGCATACAGGGTACCCCAATATTCCATGGAAATAGAACTACTAGGTATTTTTGAAATCAAAATAAGTTCGTTGTACACAATTTACCTCTATACAAAAGTTCTTCGTTTGTTCGCGAGATGGCATCAAACTTCAAAAAAATAAACAATTTTTTTAAGATATTTTAAGAACCGTTATTCCGATTTGAATGAGATTTTGGGTGACTATATATTTTGCGATGTGCTTTAATATTTAACTTTCACAAAAATCAAAAAAAAGTACGGAAAGACTGAAAACTACCCCCACCACTACATAAATTTAGTGTAAAAATTTTCCAACACCACTGATGACAGATTTTCTTTTTGTAATCTCCCTCTAGTATTTACTACATTTTTTTGTCTCTTCTAAAAAAAAACGGCGCATTACATAGTTTTTGAGAAAACTTTAGTCCTACAAAAGTAGATCTACAAAATATAGAGGGAGGTCCAATATTCCGAAGACATAGAAGAACTACGTATTTTTTGAATCAAAATAAGTTAAGTGCACATAATTTACCCTTATGCAAAAGTGCTTCGTTTGTCTGTTAATACCCTCTAACGGACAACACCCCAAACCAAACCAATAAAAAATAAACTCGAACGTTAATTAATTTAAAATTTATTAAATTTTCAAGCTTTTTACAAAGCGTATGGTCAAATACAATTTGTGATACTAACATAAAATTCGATATTTTCCCCAACTAGATTATTAGAGAATAATAGATTTTATGCGCCTCCATAGCTTGATGTGACAAATAAACATTTTTTAGAAATCAGCTTCGGAAAAACTTTTTTTTCCTCAAAAGTATGAGCGGTGGCGTTTTTTTACAAGAGACAAAAAATGTAGTAGATGCCAGATAAGCACCATTTTACGTAAAAAACAATCGGTCGTCGGTTAGGTTGGAAAATATTTATAGTAATATTTTTGCAGGGGTGGGGGTAGTTTAGTTCTTCCTGTACTTTTTCTTGATTTTCGTGGAAGTCAAATGTTAAAACACTTCAGAGTCAGTTGCGAAATTTCGTCCCAAGTTGCGAAATTTTGAAGAACACTCTGTAGTTGAGAAACGAGGAGGGCTATGAAAATTTTGTTTACAGCATCTTGCGTTTGACAAAAAAGCGGGACAGATTTGTGCAAACCGCATTCTTCTATCTTCACTAATAACGGAGATACTGTATAATTTCAACCAAAATGGGACACCCTGTATATCGCAACTCCGACCGCGAAGACTCGCCAAACGAGCGGTTTTATACTAGGTAATGCCACGCTATTGCAATTCCAGTATTGAACCTCGAACTAAATTTTACAAAACTTTGAAAATAATAAATTTCCAAAAAAATGTCTGTATCTATATGGCGGATTCATCTCTCCAAAAAATCCTATATGGGTATTTCGCCACTGCAAGAAAATCTACAAAATGAAATAGTTATTTTTTGTAAACACTTCTGCGTTAATTCAAACGGAAACTACTTGTCAGAAGTTAGGTTTACAGATATACAAATTTGCCTAACAAACAAAAAAATGCTTAACGTTTCGGAAAGTTTATCTCTTTCCGTCGTCGAAAACAAAAAAATACATAGAATAAAGGAAAAAAAACTCTTGTATATATTGTATAACTTACAATTCCATACGTACGAGGCGTTTCGGAAAAAAAATAAGGATATAGGAAAACAATATAACATACGAAGATCTTTCAAAACACAAAATACACTTAGATCCATTTTATCACATAATAAACCAATGAATACAGAACAACAAACAAAAAATGTAATATACAAAATACCATGTGAATGCGATAGATTTTACATTGGTGAAACATCTATAGACCCTTAAATGTTCGAATTAAAGAACATAAAGATTATTTAAGAAATGGAGATTTTCAGAAAAAAAACAATTAAAAAGAAAAATAAGAGGCTTTTTTAATACAATCTAATAAAAATAAATGTATTGCTCATGCATCTGTAGATGTTAGTAATGTATGGCAATCGCTTCTTTGATTTTAAAGTACATAACATAAATAAACATAACATACGTAAAAATTAAAAATAATCATACAGAATGTTTGGAGTTTTTTGGTTTTACCTTAGTAAGTAATTGTTATGAGGTAGTAATTGTTAATTTTGAAGTTTAACTTGATATAATGTCATTTTAACAGAACGTCAACGGTTTTTGTAGACGTATCTGTTTTAGAAAACTAAAGTGTTCTCGATTAGTTGAATTTAAATATTTTAAATACTGTTTTCTTTATTCTTTGTATTTTTTTGCTTCCGACGACGGAAAGATATAAACTTTCCGAAACGTTAATCATTTTTTTGTTCGTTAGGCAAATTTGTACATTTGTAAACCTAACTTCTGACAAGTAGTTTCCGTTTGGATTAACGCAGAAGTGTTTACAAAAAATAACTATTTATTTTGTAGATTTTCTTGCAGTGGCGAAATACCCATATAGAATTTTTCGGAGGAATAAATTTTCTGTATAATCTATACATTAAAAACTAAAAGAGAAAATATAGGGCAACAACAAGTGCCGGCAAATTTTACAATTATGTATTTACATCACACCTATCTACATATTGTGACGACTTTTCTGTCGTTACCCAAATAGAATGAAAAAAGAATCCGTTGCTCAGGGTTAGAGGAAAGCTGGGTTCGTAGGTAAGGCTTCTGACTCATAGTGACTTTCTAATGTTGTTAAAAAATAAAAAAAATTATAACATATATAGGCTGCAGAGATTTTAATATTGATGTTATGAATTCAAATAGGTATGGTCAAAGACAGTGAAAAGGGCGCCACTTACTTTGTTTATGAGAGTGGTAAAGTAAGAAACCAAAAAGAAAAATACGATATCACAACATAGCTAAAATAAAGTAATCAACAGCATTAAGGGTCTATTATGTTTATCAGGAATAAAAGTCAGAAATAACTATCCTACATTAAACATTTATTGAAAACGAACACAAGTATCAACAATTAGTCACAGTGATCCCAATAAAACCGCAAGTTATTTTAAATAGATTTGAATTTAGTAACTGTATTCTTTGAACTAAGTAAGCTACTTAATAAAAACAGGTGAAATTTATGTATGTCTCAATACGATGATGTTTCGAAACATGTCGTGTACAAAAACCTTTAAAATGAATACGTGTTAATAATTTTCATATAAAATATCATAGCTAAGTAAGAGTCTACTGTACGAATGAAATTATAACTTATAACGTTAAATAAAAAATGATTTTGACTACAATATGTGGGATAAATAGTGATAATTTGCCAGGTTATTAAATCTGTTGTTTCAAAAATTATAAAATAAAAGCGTACCTTGTGTATCAAACTTAAGACTTATCTGTATATAGTTTCTTATGATGTAAACAGGTAGTTAGGTATTCTCCAGACTAACAGAAGTGGATGCAGATGACTATGGCAGGAGAAGTCTTCAATATCAGCCAAAAGAACGATTGTAATGTCAGGAACACTGTCTTAAGGTCTGCATAGGTCCATACAAAATGAAGTGGGTGAAACATACAATAATACTGCATACCATGTGGTAATTACTGAGTACCAGGTGGTAGTTACTGAGTACCATGTGGTAGTTTTACTTAATATCATGTGGTACTTTTACTTAATACCATGGGTTAGTTTTACTCTATAAATAAAAAATAGTTCTCAGGACAGATACTAAATAAAAAAAACAACTTACGGTCTGAAAATCAGCTTTACATAAATATATTCAAACCATATGCCGATCCAAACCAGTAATTAAATACTCAAGTAAACGAAATAACAAACGGAAATAACTGAAATAGAATTTAGTTAGATGGGCTATATAAAATGGCGGATAAACTTACGGTGGTCATTCCAAGAAGAAACCAAACAAATACGATCTATACTCTGGATTGCATACTTTACAAGGTTTTCAAATCTCCAAATCGGATACCCATGCAATCGAAATCGAAAAGTGGATTCAGTGCTTTTCACTGGAAAATTTGTCGGACGCCAAAACACGCGTCTTCCTCAGATCCAAATTCCCAGAAAAAGACCTTTCTTCTCCGTTTCAGAAACGAAAACAAAAACCCTTTTCACCACAGACAAGTGAAAGAAAAAGTGATATCATATGATCGGAAATCATTAGAACAGAAAATCGCAATCCACAGCGACGTGAGATTGGGACAAGTGAAATGCAATTAAGGAAGTTTGGCATATAGCGAATAGATGGCGCTAATAAACAAGACAAGTAAACTGTAAGAAATGAAGTTTGACACCTAGCGAATAGATGCGCTAATAAAAATTAAATATCGAAACAAGTGACCTGTAACAAACGGAGTTTGGTATCTTTGGCATCTAGCAAATAGATGGCGCCAATACTAAGAAATTTGAATAAAAATAATTTTTAAATTCAATTTTATTAAAGGAATTAAAAAATGCTACACTGCCCCCCTCCAAAAAAAAGAAAGGCCCTCAAAGAGGACTTTCGCCCAAACACCACTAAGGAAAACTAAATTAAATTGGTACATGTTTTTAGATTTTTTTTAATTAAATTTGGTGGATGATAGCTTCGTGTATCACACGTCCATAAAGGAGTCACAATTGGTAAGTCGCAATCGGTATGTCAAATCAGGGGAGGTTACACAATCGGGAAAGTCAAAATCACCACATAATCCAAAAAAAACAAAATCATATACAAAATATATGATAAACTAAAACTAAACTTAAAACTAAAAAGGTATGGGATAGGAAAAGAAAAAAGAATCCCATGGAAGCGCAGATGTTTCTGAAGATTAACCGGTTAACCACTCAAGGTAACTCACCTGTATGAGAAAAAGAAGGAAAATTACAATAGAAAACACAATAGAAAGACACAAAGAAAGAGAAAAAAATATTGTCACTAATGACCCAAAATATCCGTAACATAGGATTCCAGCCTATGAAACGCTATTGCAAATATGGAAAGAAGATCACAATAATATCCAAAACACAGTAAAACTTACGAAGTCATGAGGTTAGCTACGTCTCACTTCTAGGTTGCAATCAAAATCATAACAACTTTTCGTTTTTTCACGAAGTTGTGTTCTCGGAATACACAAAATACAAGAATCTCTTACATTTCAGATTCTTGTGAACTGAATAAAAAAGAATAGAGCAAATGACATAAAACTATATGAGTGATTAACAGAATTACCATCCCACAAAATATTTACTCAAAATTAGGTAATCTGTAGAATACTCGAAGAAAAAAAATACTGTCATATGCTCGCATTTCCAAATAGAAATACTATAACATATCAAAAATATAGGTACGCAAAAAAAATAAATGACAATATAGTTATACTGATTCGCGACAAATCCGTAAAAAAACGAGAAGCAAATGTTGTATAACTGTTTAATCTGAACTAAAAAGAAACTAAAATTATAATCTATGTATCCGTTAGACTAAACCCTAAAAAGGAATCGGACATAATAGATTATTTGAATTACTGTGACGTAGTAGAGACATTTTCTGTATCATCGTCGTCAATCGTGTGACCTTGGTATGGTTTAAGATCTTTTATATGCCAGCGGCCTGCGTTAGTACCATTCTCGTCTACTAAAACATAAACTAAATTCGAGATTTTCTTTCGCACTGAAGATAAAATAAAACGAGGAGCTAACTTGGCTGAAAAGTTAATACCAGCATTTGATAAGACCTTATTACGTCTCCAAACCAAATCACCAACCTGAAAAGATAAATCACGCCTACGCAAATTATAAGACTTCGAGTTTCTTTCATAAGCAGCATGAAGTTTCTTACGGACTTCGCTAAAGACACTATAAAGATTTTTGAGTTCAGAAGCGTAAGAGTTGCGATCGCCAGGCATAATTTCAAAATCTTCAGAAAATTTAACTTGACCATAATACTTACCAGAGATGGGAATATGTCTACCAAAAACTAAAAATGAAGGAGAAAAACCTGTGACCTCATGTTTAGAAGTATTTAAAGCAAACTGAATATTAGAGAGCTGAACATCCCAATCTGTATGCTGTTTAACATAAGTTCTAATAGCTGTTCCTACAGTTTTATTCATTCGCTCAACAAAGTTACATTGAGGAGAATACACAGCATTATACCAGATCTTCTGAACTTGGTATTTCTTAGCTAAATCTCTAAATTCTTTCGCAACAAATTGAGGACCATTGTCACAAATTATATGTTGAGGTACTCCATAGGTAAGAAAAACTTCATTCTCAAGATACTTCACAATATAGGGAGATTTTGATGAACGCAACGGACACAGAAGAACATACTTCGAAAACCAATCGCCAACAACTAAAAGCCACTTATGACCCTTTTTTGATCTAGGAAAAGGACCCATAAGATCTAAAGCGATTGTCTGAAAAGGCATATTAACTTGCTTTTCTTTTCCCATCTTACCTAACGGCATAGTATTAGAAGATTTTTGAGCTCCGCAAACACGACAACTCCTAACAAATTTAAGAACATCGGCTCTCATCTTGGGCCAATAAAATTGTTCTTGAAGTCTCGATAAAGTCTTATAAAAACCCAAATGCGAACAAGTTGGCGGATTATGACATGATTCGATAATATTACGACGTTGAGGACGTGGAACAACCTGCTTCCATTCTTGAAGATTTGATGAAAATGGTAACTGTACCGGAATAAACTTAAAAAGAAAACCATCTTCAACTTTCCACTGTGGAAATGAACCAGGTGAAGCTAAAATCTTTTGCTTCATAGTCTCATACCATGCGTCAGTATGGTCTAAATCTATATTCAAAACGGAAATTTGCGGACATACAAAAGAATCATTATCTGAAATATCTGAAGGAGAATCATCACTAGGTATTCTACTAAGAAAATCTGGAACTACATTATTTGAACCTTTACGATGAACTAAATCAAACGTAAACTGTCTAAGTCTAACAGACCATCTAGCAAGACGACCAGTAGGATTCTGTAATTTATTAAGCCACAAAAGAGAGTAATGATCTGTACAAACGGTAAAACGTACTCCATCAATCCACGGACGAAATTTTTCCAAACTAAAAATAACAGCTAAGCACTCTCGCTCAGTTACACTATAATTGCGCTCGGATCTAGTAAGAGATCTACTAGCATAAGAAATTACACGATCTTCGTCATTAATTTTCTGTATAAGCACTCCACCAAGACCGGTGTTGGATGCATCTGTTTCTATAATAAAAGGTTTAGAAAAATCCGGTTGGGACAAAATTGGAGCAGAAACAAGAAGTTGTTTAATTTTCAAAAAAGAATCTTCAGCGGCAGGATTCCACTGAACTCCTTGACCTTTCTTTTTACCTTTTAACAAATCATTAATGGGTGAAACTAAAGTTGAAAAATTTCTTATAAAACGACGATACCAACTACACAAACCTATAAATCGTTTTATTTCAGTCGTAGTGGTAGGGCGAGGAAAGTTTAACATGGCTGAAACTTTTTCTGGATCAGTTCTTAATGAATTAGAGCCAACAATATATCCAAGAAATTTTAAAGATTTTTTAAAAAATTCACACTTTTTTATATTTATAGTTAGATTAGCATCTTTTAACTTATCTCTAACTTCAGAAAGCAATTTAATATGTTCCTCAAAACTAGGTGAACATATGATTATATCATCTAAATAGCAAAAAATGTGTGGTTCATAACGTGGTCCAAAAATAGCATCAACAAGTCTTTGTTGTGTCTGAGCGGCATTACACAATCCAAATGGCACTGTATTAAATTGAAATTGACCTCTACCAACTATACTGAAAGCAGTTTTTGGTTTGGAATCCTCGGACAATGGAATCTGCCAGAAACTTTTACGCAAATCTATACTAGAAATATACGTAGCTCCACGAAGAGAGTTTAAAATTCTATCTATATTTGGCATAGGGTAAGAGTCATACTTTGTAACCTGATTTAAAGATCGACCATCAAAACAAAAACGAAATTCACCAGTTGGTTTTTTAACTAAAAGCACTGGAGAACACCAAGGACTATTAGAAGGTTCCACGACATTAAGTTTAAGCATATCATTTAATTCCTCATTCAAGATTTTTGACATATAAGGGGACATTAAAAAAGGTTTTTGACGAAATGGTTTGGCATCACCAGTGTCAATCGACATAGTAATTTTATCTGTACGACCAAGACCATGGTCACTATTGATACTGTCAAAAGAGTTAATAAGAAGTTCAGCTTGTTTTCTCTGATTTGGTGTTAAATCATCAAGGGTACACAACGTATTTACAGCACGGGTGTTATAAGGAAATGAAGAAAACTTAGGCTGAGATCTAGAATTGACTTCCCACCAATTTTTCTTAAGATCTTCCATAAGATCAAACCGCAAGATAAAATCACAACCAAAAATAAAACTATGAGGCAATGAAGGAACTACAATAGCACTTATAACTTGACATAAACCATCAACGACTAAAGGTAGATCGACTACACCAACTATTTTCTTTTCGGTATTGTCTGCAGTACTAATTGATAAAAGAGTTGGTTCCCTAATAACCAAATTAAGATTCTCAATAACAGGAATACCAGCAGCTCCAATAACTGTAGATGTACTTCCAAAATCTAAAAGACCACAAATTTCAACGCCTAGAATTTCTACTAAAATATAAGGTCTGTTATCAGAAACCTTTGGACAAAAAAGAGGAGAAACTTTATGATTGGTAGTGGTGGATCTATAAAAATTCTTAACACATAATAACCACTTCTTCCAATCAGATTCTGAAAATAAATTTCTGGGTTTGAATTTTTGAACTGCACGACCAGAAACACGAGTTCGTCCAATTAGTATTTTTGAACATTTGGGACACGCCGGTGACTTAACACCTAAATTACCACATTTAAAACAAAAAACCTTACGTTTCTGTCGACAATCATGAAATGTATGATTTGGACCAGAACAATTCCAACAAACTAAACGCGAGGTTGCTTCCTTACCTGAATTTTCTACAGATCTGGGCATACTCGAAGAAGTATTTACCATATCAGGGTCAGAAGACGACGACGCTACAGAATAACTAGCAGACCGAACAGTAGTATTTTTATTTTTGTTTTGAGCATTGACATTCTTAGACTTTTTACAAAACTGTACTCGATGAGAATCAGACGAGCTAGAATCAGGAGTGGTATTCAATTGAGAAACATTTAAACTTCTAGATCGTTTTTCATTCTGATGTTTAGCATTTTCTAATTTTCTACACAAATTAGAGAGTTCAGACACAGATAAAACATCAACTAAAGCTAACTGAGTAATGTATTCAGGAAGTAAATTTTGTCTAATAATTTTAATCTTATTAACCTCACTAGGGCATTTACTTAATCTACTAAAAAGATTCTCTAAAGTTGCTATAAAAATTAAAATACTTTCATTTTTTCGTTGTTTATAAGATTTAATTTGCGACCAAATATTGTCATCATTATCTGGTGGCAAAAAGTCTTTCTTTAATCTTTCTACAAGAGATTTCCAATCTGTAACATGTTGTTTAATACTTCTGTACCAAATAAAAGCATTCCCGGTAAAAAGTTCTACTGCGGAAGAAAATAAATCTTGTTCACTAACTTTACGTGATTCAGAAAGCTCAGTAACAGTTTCTAAAAATGAAAATAAATCTTGAGGATTACCATTAAATTTAATAGGCCAGTCTGACACTGGACAAGGTTTAGCAACATAAGTCACAATAGGAGGCGGTACATTAATAACCGAACAGAACTAACATTTAAAATTTCATTTGTGTCAGAAATTTTTGAAAATAAGTCAGCTTCAAGTTGATAACAACTAGTATAAACATCAGTTTGAATAGTCTCTGCATCAGCACGATTTTCATCTAAAAATATTCTTCTAATTCTACCAGCCAAAATGTACAAGACGAAGATTTTATAACTTTAAACATTGAATCATTTACTCCACCCCTCGAATCTCAGAAATTGACAAAGAAATTGAATCTAAAGTTGCTTTAATTTCGAAAATTTCTTGATCAAAAGAAAGAGGATAATTTTCCATATTAACTAAACAAAAAGGGTTATTAATTCTCTACTTAAAAGACCTGACAAAATTTTACGTTTACTCTCAACATTTTTAGATGTCTTAATACCCCTAATAAGAAGTTCATAATCTAATTCTACTTGTCGTAAATGATTAACTTTAAAAGATTCTTTCTCCATTGTAATTCAGTTATATAAGATATTAAAGACTAAATGATTCAGAAAAATTTACTAATTTTAACAAAAAGCTGTTATGACTGGACGCAATCTATCAGAAAGAAATTATGTTCAATGTCAAAACCAAAAAAGACTCAAATATTCAAAACAAATTCCAAAATTTTACGAAGTACTAACAACGCTACCCTGTATACTAAAATTATGTCCACTCTGTATATTCAAAATATAACCTTTACCTGTATATTTATATCAAGATCAAAATTTCAATAAACTATGTAGTCAGAAGTATCAAGTTATTTATCTCTGAGTTTTAAACCGATAAACAAACACCCTCTATAACATAAAAAACAAAAATTGCTGTTGTACTGAAATTATAAAAATTAAATTACAGAAATAATGAAAACAAAATTTCAAAACTATAGTCTTTGCCTTAAAGAAAATTTATCTGAGCCTAATAGAAATTATTTTACTGAATTCAGTTTACTAAATTAAGTCAATCAAATTAAACTAAGTTGATCCAATTAAATAGAACATGAGCCAATCAAATTAAGCTGAGCTAATCAAATTAAGCTGAGTCAATAAAATTAAGCTGAGTCAATCAAAATAAGCTGAGTCAATAAAATTAAGCTGAGCCCCACGTTACAGGGCGTCATATATTTTATTCTTCTATGTGTGACGACTTTTCTGTCGTTACCCAAATAGAATGAAAAAAGAATCCGTTGCTCAGGGTTAGAGGAAAGCTGGGTTCGTAGGTAAGGCTTCTGACTCATAGTGACTTTCTAATGTTGTTAAAAAATAAAAAAATGATAACATATATAGGCTGCAGAGATTTTAATATTGATGTTATGAATTCAAATAGGTATGGTCAAAGACAGTGAAAAGGGCGCCACTTACTTTGTTTATGAGAGTGGTAAAGTAAGAAACCAAAAAAGAAAAATACGATATCACAACATAGCGAAAATAAAGTAATCAACAGCATTAAGGGTCTATTATGTTTATCAGGAATAAAAGTCAGAAATAACTATCCTACATTAAACATTTATTGAAAACGAACACAAGTATCAACAATTAGTCACAGTGATCCCAATAAAACCGCAAGTTATTTTAAATAGATTTGAATTTAGTAACTGTATTCTTTGAACTAAGTAAGCTACTTAATAAAAACAGGTGAAATTTATGTATGTCTCAATACGATGATGTTTCAAACATGTCGCGGTACAAAAACCTTTAAAATGAATACGTGTTAATAATTTTCATATAAAATATCATAGCTAAGTAAGAGTCTACTGTCTGAATGAAATTATAACTTATAACGTTAAATAAAAAATGATTTTGACTACAATATGTGGGATAAATAGTGATAATTTGCCAGGTTATTAAATCTGTTGTTTCAAAAATTATAAAATAAAAGCGTATCCTTGTGTATCAAACTTAAGACTTATCTGTATATAGTTTCTTATGATGTAAACAGGTAGTTAGGGTATTCTCCAGACTAACAGAAGTGGATGCAGATGACTATGGCAGGAGAAGTCTTCAATATCAGCCAAAAAGACGATTGTAATGTCAGGAACACTGTCTTAAGGTCTGCATAGGTCCATACAAAATGAAGTGGGTGAAACATACAATAATACTGCATACCATGTGGTAATTACTGAGTACCAGGTGGTAGTTACTGAGTACCATGTGGTAGTTTTACTTAATATCATGTGGTACTTTTACTTAATACCATGGGTTAGTTTTACTCTATAAATAAAAAATAGTTCTCAGGACAGATACTAAATAAAAAAAACAACTTACGGTCTGAAAATCAGCTTTACATAAATATATTCAAACCATATGCCGATCCAAACCAGTAATTAAATACTCAAGTAAACGAAATAACAAACGGAAATAACTGAAATAGAATTTAGTTAGATAGGGCTATATAAAATGGCGGATAAACTTACGGTGGTCATTCCAAGAAGAAACCAAACAAATACGATCTATACTCTGGATTGCATACTTTACAAGGTTTTCAAATCTCCAAATCGGATACCCATGCAATCGAAATCGAAAAGTGGATTCAGTGCTTTTCACTGGAAAATTTGTCGGACGCCAAAACACGCGTCTTCCTCAGATCCAAATTCCCAGAAAAAAGACCTTCTTCTCCGTTTCAGAAACGAAAACAAAAAACCCTTTTCACCACAGACAAGTGAAAGAAAAAAGTGATATCATATGATCGAAATCATTAGAACAGAAAATCGCAATCCACAGCGACGTGAGATTGGGACAAGTGAAATGCAATTAAGGAAGTTTGGCATATAGCGAATAGATGGCGCTAATAAACAAGACAAGTAAACTGTAAGAAATGAAGTTTGACACCTAGCGAATAGATGCGCTAATAAAAATTAAATATCGAAACAAGTGACCTGTAACAAATGGAGTTTGGTATCTTTGGCATCTAGCAAATAGATGGCGCCAATACTAAGAAATTTGAATAAAAATAATTTTTAAATTCAATTTTATTAAAGGAATTAAAAAATGCTACAATATACCATCCCAAAAAGACCTCAATTTGGCCTTGAACGAAGCCAAGGATACATTGAAATACATGGATACATATTATTTTATAATTTTAATTTAAATGAATATTATCTATTTTTTTATGTAAATGATAGTTTGCAATCCTTCTATTATAATAAAGATACCTTTTAGTCACTCCACTAGCTCTTAATGCTTGATTATATGTAACATTATTTATGCATGCTTCCGATATACACGTTTAATTACATATTTAAGGTATAAGGCAGCAGAAGCGAGATTGGGTATATCGACTAATTTTTAATAAAATGTAAAAATTATTCCGAGATAAGCGTACATAATTTAGGTTCTCCCCTGTGTAATTATGTTTTTAAAATTCAATATTTTAGTTATACTTAAATTGCTATTAAAGCACATTATAGTGTATACAATTTTCATAAAAAAATCAAAATACCTATGAGTGTATAGATACCAAGTAGATATAATCAAGTTGGTAGTTTTATAATAAAATATATTTACATTTTTTATTATGAATCTGCTTCAGTTTTTTTATGGTTTACAATATTCTTAGTTGATAAAAAAGAAACAGATATACAGGGCCCAAGTAGCATCTATCTGACTTCGAACTAAATCTGACCTGAAGCGACGTCAGACTTTGTGCAAATTTAGGTCGGGTGCTCGTGATACGACCTGTGACGTCGCTTTCCTATTGAAAGCGACGTCGTTGGATCCGAGTCGGTAAATCCAACGATATGTCGACGTACAAAATAACAACGTACCATTTTTATTAATTTTCCAACATCGTTCCCACATTGGCTTGCACGACGTACATATACTTGAACTAGCCCGACGTCTACCCGTTGTCCGAATATAGGATACGTCTCACTGATAATCTGTAAAGTAACGTCCAATTATATTTTGTTGTATTTTATGTTCATATTTATAACCTAATTTACGTATCTCTATTTACGTCCGTAAATACAACCCATTAAGTAGCATTTGCGACCTAATGAACATCATGAACATAACCTAATAAAAAGTTTTTGTAAACAAACTTAAATTTTTTATTATGCCTAAAAAAACACTAAAAAGGCATTTAGACATTCATCTACATTTTACAGAAAGAGGTCGAGGCAATATAATAATAGTAGTAGTGATGTCTTGCCTCCATCCGTAAATGCTTTTTCTCCGGAAGAGTTGCTGCATTACACTGGTGCATCTTAATTTCATTTTTTAGCTTAGGATACCAGCAGACCCCATCCTCCTCCGACATGTGAGGTTAGACTTAAAAAAGTGGCTGCCCGTTTCCTTTAACGAGAAAAGAAAAACTAAAATATAGTTGCACAAATCCACAAATCACTGATACGCAAAATGCAAAGTGAGGTTACGTGGCGTACGTTGGAATTATATACGTCATAATACGATTGCCGGTCGTCCGGTTTGATGACTTCGGTCGTGTGGGACGACTAATGTTGGAGACCCGGTCGGAATTGGTATATTGGTAGTTCATATTAACTCGGACACAGAAATCCGCCATTCTTAACACGTATCTGATTGTCAGCCATTTTAAAATCGTTTTTTGTTTTTAAAATTTATATTCACATTTCGATTTCTAGTAGAATAATATTGATAAGGTTGAGTTTGGGGGGAACCACAGTACAGTTTTATATTAAACCAGCTAGAAAATTAAAAAAAATATTTTGGGAGTTACTTTTTTATAGATATTTTTATTTCATAAATCTACCTAATTTTGAAGGCGCTCGTTGTTTTCCGGAGTATTTTAATCAGATATATCAAGAAAGTGGCTTCCGTTGACAAAACTGATGTCTGGATTAATGATTCAGAATTATTATAATATGAAATTAAGTAGGCACTTATAGTTATATTCGAGGAGTGATTATGAATCCATTTGTAATTAGGTAGTTTGGTTAGGTTTGTATGTACCTATTCTTGGTAGCGAATATGAAACCAAACGTAACGTAAGTGCTTAGCGACGAATTTTAAGTAACTAAAATCCAACGTAATATTATGACGTTGGTAATTGGTAGAATTACATTCCCTATTAGGTCAGATACCGACGTCGAGGCGACCCGAATCTGTATTCCCCATTTAGGTGCAAATAAGGGTCGTCAGGCGGTCGAACCGACGTTGGTACCCGACGTCGGGTTTATTGAACGCGACGTATACCCGACGTTAGATAACGTCCAAATGCTACTTGGGGGTGAGTCTTAAATTAGTGCAGATATTTTCAGGGCTGGTAGATCTCGGTAAAAGAAACATATTTTCTCTTTACCGTTTTCCAAAATAACCGAGTTATTTAAGTTTCAAAACTAAAAATTTCAATAGGTGAAATTAATTGTTTTTTTCTGAAAATATTTTGAGAGTCACCGGATATTTTCCTCTATAATTTGTTCCTCTAATTTTAATCTACTACCGATATTGTCACGTTTTTAAGATATTACACTTTTTAACTTAAAACTTTCCAAATTTCATAAGATCCACTCCATAAGACTGTATTGTTTTCAATTTTGCAACTAAATAATGGGCCGTCTAAAAATTACATGTCAGTGCGTACTCCAATTATCCTCAAAAAACTCACAAGACAAAGGCAGAAAAATGCATGCTTCATTTAGAAATATGTAATAATTATTTTTATTCAACTAAACATCGCTAAGCTGGAGAAGAGTTTTTTCAATAAATTTTAATATTTTTTATTTTGTTTTCCTTATTTTTCAGAACATATATCCTATATCCTACATAGAAATCTCTCATAAATTAACCGTAAAACTTCCAGCAAAAAAAGCGATTTGGCTACACCGCATAATAGACCAGTGCGAGCACGTACGGGGATTACCATATACAATATAGAGATGGGTGCGCCGTTGCCATCTGCACCTCCGGTCTAAATCATCTCTCGGTCCATCGGACGAATATCTTTGGGACACGTTGCAAATGTGTTCCGATCGCGATAACCCCCAGAGGTTTTGAATATATTCGGAAAGAAAGACCGTAACAGTCATCGGGATGCGGCATCTAGCGGTAGACTTTGTGTAATGACTTTCCCACAGTTTTCTCGGTGGTTTTCGTGCGTTCGTAATTATCCCAGTATTATTGTTAGTATTAGCTGTATATGTATGCGGTTCGAGTGCGTTTCTGTATTTTCATTCTTCCCACTTCAAAATTCCCTTCGAAATAATGGTTTTAAAGTTACAATGTTACAAATCTAAAATTTGTCAACATTCATGGGCAGGCCATAAAGGAAACTTTAATAGTTCAAAAATTACAATGAAAAATCCGATAGAATCTACATGAAAAATAAAAGAGGCACTTCTAATGCAGTCAATTATAAAGAAATGTATTGCTAAGGCATCTGTAGATGTTAGTAATGTATGTCAATCGCGCTTCTTCCATTTTTAAACATCAATGACAAAACCACATCGCATAAATTTTAATAAAAAAATAAACATACAGACGACATGAGATTTTTGACCTTGCCTCATTGTAGATTGTATGGGAGTATATATTACATCTTATTTTACTAAGCGTGTTGACCGTACTCATGAAAACCAGCACCCAAGAAAAGAAATGCCGACCCTTAGTATACTAAACTAGGAAATAATAATAACAATTAGGTATTTTGAACTTCTAGTTCAGAAATATTTTAGTACTAGGCAGAATAGCTTTTAGGCATATTAGACTAAAATAAAAACGTGGGGCCCCTTTGAAATCCTACCTATGGCAAAGCATATCTTTATACTTTGGTAGATCATGAGCTCCGCGTTCGCTGGTGAAGCCGCCACGGGTGGTTATTGATTGTCAAAATCTCCAGTTACGATTATAGTAAGTCGATGCAATCCACACTTAGTATAGAAGAAAGTATTACAGCAATAGTTAATGGGCCCCACGTTTTTATTTTAGTCTAATATGCCTAAAAGCTATTCTGCCTAGTACTAAAATATTTCTGAACTAGAAGTTCAAAATACCTAATTGTTATTATTATTTTCTAGTTTTCAGTGCACATAAGATAAAACCGTTTAACTTAAAAGTTTTTTTACCGATTTTTTATTTTCTAGTTTATAGTATTTAACGGAAATGCCTACCGAATATTCCTCATTCTATTTAATTCATTTAGTGCATCATTATTGCATGGTTTTTTACCTGATAATTTATTACAATCTAATTCCTCAATACATAGCCCTTCCAGAGACTTGACTCGACTTAGAGCCACGTATGCTTGCCCTTCCTCAAACAATTTTTAGCCCAAATACACTACTGCATGGTCGACTGTGCTGTCATGCATTTTATGGACGGTGGATGCCCATGACAAAATTAAGGGTAACATCCTTCTTTCAGCCGTACCATAATTGAATTTTGCTGGAAACTGTATGGCTTTCGGGTGTATAACGTGTATGCCGTCTCTGCCAAAGTCAATCCAAACTGATGGTACATCTGTTTCGTACATTTGGGTTCGACGGAACTGAGGCCAAACAATTTCTGTAATGTGGCCTATAGCACCATTTACCAATCCTTTTGTAACGTTGTAACGAAAATTTATTTTCGTTGTGCTTGCCTTCGGATTATTTTACTTTTAAACGAGGTTTTTACAGTTTGCAATTTTACTCGCATTGACACTTGACCCTCGGGTACCATACTTTTTCCCCGTTGGATGTTGTGCGTCGGATACTAGAATTAGATAAACGTTCAATTCGATAATATAAGTATCGTATATATATATATATATATATATATATATATATATATATATATATATCGTTAATCAATTGTTATAATCAATTAATATAATTAATTAATATAAAATATATTTTTAATCAATTGTTATAACTCAATTAATATAATTAATTAATTTAAAATATATTTTTATCGTTTTTAATAATTCTCAATGGTACTTAGCAAAGTTGAACTTATTATTTGGATTTTAATATGTTTTTGTTCAACGATTATAAATTAAGTTGCTCTTTTCATGGATCGTGCCATCCATCACGAGAATCCATGGAGTACCAAATTACACCAAATGGTACGGTGTACAAAATATTGTAGACTGTAAACACCGTAGATTGTTTTTAGGCAATTCATAATACAATAGTTGCAATTTTGGTTGCCTACCTACGGTTTGAGATTCATTTGTTTATTTTTAACAGAGGTTAAGTGAATTTTCCTTGTTATCAGTGCTAATTGATTAAGATGCAATTGTTTCCTTCATTTTAAGGTATGTAAGGAGTCGTTAAGTATTATTTTTATTAGTAGTTGAAATTTTATCGAGAATTAGTTTAACAACGCATGACTATTTTTAATTCGATCTGATATGTCAAGATTTTCGGGAGAAGGGGTATGGTTAATATAAAACTAAAAATTTTAAAATTTTGCCTTCTTCTCTTCTCATCTCTGCTCTGGGCATTTGGCCATTATTCCAATATGTTTGAGATTTTTTATTTTTTTCTTCAAGACTGCACGCTGAAGGTACGATTTTAGATAATTTTACTACGGTTCTATTTAACAATTTATTTCAGCAATTATTTCATTACTTAATATATTTTCTAAACGTAGGTAACTACCTATTGTTTTTTTATTTTTGTTTTTTACATAGCTACAGTTTTTTTTCATAAGAGCACGTGCTTAGACTTATCGTAAGATAGTTACTCTACTATCTTTCGAGTTATATAATATAACTAATTATTTTCTTTATTTTTTCTACCTATATATAAATACGGAGACGCCACAACGTGGAACAGGAAACCACAGACAGGTGTTCGATACCGAGCCAGGCTGTCCGAGAGAACCAACTGCTGCAGGAGTACAATCAGAAATGTCCCAGGAAAGCAGGCCCCTTGGTAAGTAAAGCTTTTATAATATCATTATTATCGACTATAGTCATCTTTGAAAAAACTTTACTTGCCAGAGGGTGGCTCTCCATACCTGGACCCTGTGGTGGTTATTTTTCTCGTTGGACGGGCTCCTCGACAGATAAGATTTTTTCTAATTTTTCTTTCTTGCCTTATCTGTCGATTACCTTAATTTTTAATAGATCGTAAATTTATTATTAATATTTATTTTTATAATTTAAATCGTCTCTTCGTATTGCATTTTTTTAGATTTTGTTTTTAGCACGTGCAAAGTAATAAATAATTGTCTGATAGAACCACGGTTTTTATTATCATTTTATTATAAAATCATTATACCTATATAGTGTGGTAGTGGTCTTGATTTTTTTTTATTAAATTGATCTTACATTTTTTTGAGAGAGACAGAGAGAGATATACATTTTATCTTTGCCTATTTTTTTTTAAAATAATTTGGACAATACTCAATTCTAATTTCATTTAAGCTGTTATGGCCAGATTTCAAAATTTATTCAATTAAATTAAAATTTTATTAAATTTAATTATTAATATTAAATTTTCAAGTTGATAATAGAATTTTGTCTGTTATTCGTAATTTTTTTATTGGATGGCTTTTAGAGAAGACTAACAATTTATTGGTTAAATACCAATTTGTTTTTGATGCCTTTCGGCTTTGCCATTTTAAAATTGATCAATTTTAATTTTAATTTTAATTTTAAAGCTAGCTTTAATTTTAACTCTTATTAGTAGTAATTAGATTTAATTTAAATATTGTTAAGCTAAATAACTATACCTTCGATTTAAATTTTGATTTACCGTCATTTGCCATTGGCCACAAACAGACAGTCGACTGGGTACTGTTGAACACTACCACATAACTGGGTACTTAACCATTGTTTCGAATAGCATACTGCTGTTTGTTATCTTCTAGGAAGATACGAGGAATTGATCCTCCCCATAAGTAGCTCACGCACTGAGCTGGTGGAGTCTCACAAGCTCTCCAACGTTAGCCGAACTGTTACGCTACCCACCAGCGGACGAGTGCAGCGAAGAGGGTGAGGCCTTTCTCCCAATCAACGAACCAACCGAAGCAGATGAAAATTTAAGTATCCCAGTTGTATTGTATCTAACCTTATATAGTCAAGACTGTCACAGCCAGCCAATTGTATTAGTATAAGTTAGAATATAGGTAGTATTTAAAAAAAAAGAACTTGTTTTATTTAATTCCAAAGCATACTTCTAAATTCATCAACATCCAGAATTTTGTGGGTTATAACGTCAATGTTGGACCGCAACATTACTTTTGCTCCTACAAATATTTCAAGTACTGATGGTAAGCCTCCAGTCTTATTTATATCTGTTGGTATTATATTTGCTAAATTCAAATTATCTGTATTTCGTGTGGCGTCAATTAGTTGGTCCTGTGCTTTAATGGTATAAATTCGAGATCCTTTATTCCGGAACAGATTTAAAACAGCAGCGTTGTGATTGTTTACTTGCTGATTAGTGGGGTATACCCTTAACGCTTTGTCTGTTGCAAACTCATCACTTGGGTTTTCAATAACTCTATGCATCAAAATACTAAAATGGTTAGCGGTTAGCTCACCTATTCTCAAAGCATTTAATATTTCAATAAAAGTATGGTCCCCTTGCTGACGCATATTCTCCGTCAGCTCACAGAGCGTGAACAAACGCCATAGATGTGTGGCTGGTTGGAGATGATCGGGCTGTTTGAAAACAGGAGCTCCGGAGCGTTTGATTGGAGGCAGTTGTAACAGATCTCCAAAAAGTAAAACGTTTATGCCTCCAAAGAACTCGTCTTCATGATTTTTAAGTTGTCTTAATCGTGCGTCAATCATACACAGCATTTGATAAGATACCATTGAAATTTCGTCCATGTTGTTCCCACGAGTAATGGACATTTTAACGGTCGACACCCCCAGAGGTCCAGTAAGTCCAGTATAGCAAGGCTATAATATACAACAAGAGGCGCCCAATCTTGAGGGGAAAACCCTTGCGACATTACATTTTTAGCCACCCTAATGCCATACAGTCCTCAGCACGTTTTAACCAATTACCTTAACTTGGGTGGTAAAGCTACCGCTAACTACGTAGGTACATCTAATCATCTATTTATTTTTATCTGTCCTTCTAACGTCACACAATCTTGGACACAACTGTTCTGGACACACGACTACTCATGCCCTCACCTAATACGCCATTTGTAACGACGTCCATCTTGGATTTTAAATTTTGTCATAATCACAGTATTCTACTAGTGTAGCCCTTTCATTTGATACCCATATTGAGGGGGTTGTGGAAAAATATGAAATCCGCCATTTTGTACCGGCGGCCGTCTTAGATTTACAATGTTATTGATATTACTATATTGTATTGTCATCGGAACTAAAGGTGTGTACCAAATTTCAGATCAATCTGACAACGGGAAGGTACTTAAATTTCAATTTCTAATTTTGACCCAAATAAACAAACAAATAAATAAATACCGTACGGGTCGAGCTAAATAAAACCGTTTATAAACACGTAAACAACCCATACAGCACGTCCAAATAAAATTACGTTTCTACAAGGGAGACACATGAGAAACAAAATATGTTAAAGTGAACCTAAGTGTTCATCTAGTTCTAACATATACATATGAGATACACGCAGGTTTATATTGATAGAATTGTGTGATACAGTGTTTACTAGTTGTATACCGTATGCACTGAAGATTCTAAAGAGTTTTTTGTAACGTAACAAATAATTGTAACAAATAATTATTAAAATGATGAAATCTGACGTCGGTATATGAGACATACAATGTATATGTCATATGTATGTGTGATACTTCGTATCATAGTTGTGCCTATAGTACACACCTTGTAAAAATGTGACGTATACACATAATATAAATTTCTATATAGACACATTCTAGCCTGAAATGAAGGTGTGCGCACGCGCGGATAGCCTCAGCGTAGACACACCAACCAAGTGTATCTTATGTGTTCTCTCTCCTTTCTCCTTTCTAGGAGTGGTATATGTTAGCAGCCATTATTGTTTTATCATTCGGAAGCTCTATATAAATGTTCTGTTTGTGTGTAGTTTAAAAGAGATTTTAAGGTAAGCAAAAGTTTTTAATTACCTTGTTACACCTTCCTAAGAGTATTATTAATATTATAGCAGCGGCTCTTCCCTTACTCGATACCCAATTTACCAAATTTTTACTCCAATGAATGAAAACTCCAAATATTCTTGTATACTGATAAAGAGGTTAGCTCTGCAATATATTTTTTTTAATTTGGAAATAATAAAAATCTAAATGGACCAGAGAAAGAAAGATTTAAACAGCTTCAAAGAACTTCTTACACTGATATTCGGTAAGTTATTGATGGATCAATATACAGGTATGTTTAATATTCAATAATTAGTTTCATATAAAATTTAAGGGTAAGATTGTCAATCTGAGATTGTTAATCTCGACGAATGAGTATGCTAACAAACCAACTGCTTGGAGGGAAAAGAAGAGAAGAAAATGACTAAACGAGATCCACCAAATCGTCGCGATATACCAGTGTTTACCATTTTAGTATGTTGTTATACTAGGTACTTATATTTTAATACATTTTGATACAAATTCTGTTCTTTTACAGTGCTTTCTTTACTTGGTTTCTGCAATGTAAATAATAATTATTATTGTGTTATTTGCGCTAATGCGTTCCATGATATAAAGAAATATAAGAATTTTATTTTTAACCACTTAATCCGTTTTATGGAAAAAAATGGTACATTTAATGCAAAACAAAAATGGAACAATTTTAAGGCTACTTCTCTTGAACTTACGATCGAGATACTTTGGAAAATACAAAGTTTTGCCTTCCTATTTTCGTTCTAAAAAAATTTAATTGGTATCATTGAATAAATATTTCTTAAAAAGAACGAAAATTTAGGCATCAAAACTTGTATTATTTCCTAAATTCGTTCATAAGAAGTAGTTTTATCTAGCACAAGATGTACATACGAAGCAAAATACATACATATACACGCAGTAATCACAACTGCAATGTGTAAACAGAGTTTAAACGTAATACACAAGCACTGTGTATCCTACGGCACACTGTGTATCCCTTACTTTGTGTATACGTAAATGCTATACTGTGGCTACATTGTGAGGCGGACGTTTAACCTTTGTGCATACGTGTTGAACTACAATGTGTAAACGTATCATATTTACATCGGGGGAATTGTGTCACCCTGTGTCTACATCTAATAATGTAAACACATCGTAAATGTGATTTGATGTGCTGTATGGGAAATAGCCGTAGCGTCTGGGAGTAATTCCGAAGTTGACTACGCTGCACTACGAGTTCCTTTGATTCGTGCCAGTTTACCGACAACCGCCGGGAAAATGACGAAGTACGAATCTTCGTGGAAGGTAACGTCCCACACGCTACGCGAATAAGCTCGAATACCGAATATTCGCCAAATGCACGTAGTGTCTGGGACCCGCTTATGAAAGGAATGCGGACAAAAAAATATTTAAATATAAACAACAATATATTTTATAAATCGCTACCTAAATAGAAGCGAGAGAGGGACCACGTAGACTTGACGAGTATGTTACCGCAAAACACTCCGCCCACTCATTTCATTGGCTTCTTGCAAATTTATCGAATTTTTATTGATGGCACGCGTCGTCTAATTTTTTACGAGAAACATTGAGAGAATATCGTTTGCCCCCTTATGGATACCCCGTAGCTACAGAACGGATAGAACTACTGTAGGTGTTCTGTTTATCACAACATTGTACAATACAAAACTAGAATACAATACAAAACTCGAAAATTTAGTTCCAAAAAAAAACAGGTTGTACTTAAAAGTACAATTAAAAAAAAATACTATGAAAATCACCAAAAAAACTAGAATTACTCCCAAAGATTCAACAACAACACGATATTATACAAAATAATTATTCTCATTATGATAATAGTCAAATAATAAACGACAACGTTGCTGATCGCGGCGCAATGTGATAAACATGGCGATAATAAAAAACGCTTTAAACTAATTTTTGCAGCTTTAATGTAAATAAAATATCTGTTACAATCAGTTGCTCTATAAAGTAAAATGAAGAGCTGCTCGGTATCTTAAATTATACAACAAATTTACATATTTTTGACAAAATTTCTTTTAGTCAGGTTTATAGGCTTTAGTGTCAATTTCGATATTATTGATGACGTGCATCGGAAAATATTTTGCGATTACCCTATATTATTAATCTTAATCTTAATGCTAAACTCACCATGTATTTGCTCTCGTTGCTGCTGTTTTCCAAAAATAATCAGAGAAAACTTTGTAGGATTGATCAACAAAAAGTGGCCCAAGGACTCATTTACTAAAGCTTCCAAATCTGCTTTAATCATATTTGTGGCAATTCAAGCACTATCCGGACTGAAAAAAAGATAAGAAATGGATGTATTGTGAGCATATATAGAATAGCGTTGCAAAAATTTAAAATATTTTTAGGATAAAACTAATAATGGATCTAATATTGGACCTTGGGGGTTTTATGAGTAATAATTCTCGGTTTGCTACCAATATTGGAATAATTATTTTTTCTTTATTTATACTATAGAATATTTATAATTTGTATTGTCAAAGCTAAAATTATTTATACTATTTGGCATAGAGCTGTCAATATAGTCAAATGTACCGTATATGATCGAAAAAAAAAACTGCGTCCAGTTAGCTGGGAAATGACGATCGATGACATTTCTCATATAAATTTACATACAAAATGACAGCGATCTTCATTTCATAGCCATCGCTGTCGCCATTTTTTTTTTCGATCATACGGTATTATTTCACACAAGAAAACAAATAAATCAGACGGGTATATAACTACGCATACATAAATACTACAACCTATATTAATGAAAACTCAACAATGTTCAAACGTGGTACAAAACGTCATCAATACAAGTTGACAACCACGAACTACAGCATCCAAGCTCACGTTCTATTTATAAATTCTTTTAGAGAAATCTATAAACTAAAAGCCACCGTTATCTTTCCAATAATAGACAAGGCTCTTCGATGTTTCTGAGATTCCCCCAGAGTGATATGTGCTACTTTGGCTATTGTTTGCTTTGGCGACGATGGTTAGATACAGAAAAGATGTCGTACTTTCAGTTTGGTATAGCCAAAAACATTTACGTATTTTAGTAAAACTATACAGCCTAAAATTAATATACTGAAAAAAACGATTCTTGTCTAAATAATATCCACCTCATCACGCAGACGAAGATACGGTTTAAATATTAGTTTTTTTTTTTTATTTTATTTTTTTTATTAAGTGAGCGTTTGCCATGCCCTTTCTAATTTGAAGTTCAATAAAACACAAGTTGACTTATTAGGATGAGTTGCATAGAGGCCACTAGCTTTTTAATTTTAACAGCCGGGTGGTCGGGGTTCAAAGATATTAATAAAAGGGCGCCACGAGATTATACTCTATGAACTCGGCATAAAAGATGTTACTATTAAGTAGACTTCAACACTAACCTTGAACTGTTGACTGTAACTACCATGAACTTCAAATATACTATAATTACTTGAACTTAAGTGACTCTAACTTAGCTCTGAGACTAGACTGTAAATAATACTAGTAAAAACATTTAATCAATTTATTAAACTATGAAAAAGTTAATATATATATAAAGTAATGAATGAAATGTAAGAGAAATGAAATATGTTAAGAAAAGCAAATTGAAATGTACGAAAAGAAGATCTGTACGAAAGATGTACGAAAAGAAAATCAAATGAGAAATAACTAAACCTATGACGTCAAACCCCCTTATCTAACTTAATACTAGATACAATCAGGGTGGTTTATACCCAT